AGAGGGTCACACACCCATTTCTCCAACTCCCAACAAAGACGTTCTCAGAAAACCTGAGCTCCAAATGGACCAAAGATACACTTGAGTTCAGATCACGTTTGTGAATTACTCTGAAAGAACATAGGAACATTTTTTTTTTAAATATTGAAGCATTTCATTTAGGCACTTTCAAAAGAGAAATTCTCAATTTCCCCTTTTTAAAATGGCATTTTTTCATTAAAGTAAAAAACCAAGACGTATTTAAGCTAAGCATAACTCTAAAAGATGCAACCACTCTGTACAGAAGGAAAGGCCAGATCTCACAAAACGCTTTATGTTGGCCCCATATTTAGGCTCAAGAATGAGAAAGTAGAACACAAATTCATTCCGCTATTCATCCAAGCCTTATCGTGAGACTTGAAGGAAAGGAAATGCCTGAGGTACTGGCCCTTCCCCGTCTCCATAACCCAGTGGCTGTTGTGAGAGTTTCCTGTAGTCCTTCCCATGGCTTCTCTAGAGGTCAGAGCAGACCAGCACTCACCCAAGACTTCATGTGTTCTCCTGCAGTGCACAGCCTTGCAAGACAAAGGCACAAGACAGTGAATTTCTGCATTTCACAGTCTGTTCCTCATTCCTTTGCAGTTTGTGGCTGTCATTCACCGCAGGGCACTAAGCAGAGGGTGATGACCACAGAGTTCCTGTACTGGTTAACAAGCCATTGAGAACTGCATCTGAGCAATAGTGTCTCCAGGCTCTAAGGGCAAGAAGCAAGGCAACAACAGGCATTTACTGGCTAGTGCAGAGGGATTTCAGTGCCCTCCCAGTCCGAGGATGACAGATGGATATCCCACAAACTCAGAAAGACAGAGAAGGAAAAAGCACGGGTGTGTAGAGTACCTGGGGTTACGTCTGTGATACTGAGAAACCCACATCCAGGACACACCAGGCCAGAAAGACATGTCTGGCCAGAAAGGCACGCCAAGCTTGCCTTCAAACACAAATGCAAATTTTACTTTTCCCATCCTACCCCAGTGCCTCTGCGTGCTATATTCCTGCCCACAAAATGGAATGCCATTTGTGCATGGATGGATCTTGCACCTCTGTCTCTACATTGCAACACCTGCAGAAATGCCAAGGCCCAGGGGTGGCCGCTCAAGAAAGCATGCAGCCAAAGCAGCCAAGAAAATGCACTCCACGTCCTAGTAACTCCTGGCTCTGAGACATGCCTACTATTTCCTTACTTGTGAGGGAAAATATATAAAAAAATAATACTTAACCAAAGAATCAGCAGGTGATCTATCTCAACATTTCTTTTGCTTTCCAGAAATGAATTCATTACCCAGAGACAGCAAAGCGTGCATCACAATTCCTGTATGGACAGCCCAGCCCGAGCAGGCTCCAGTATTAAACAGTGACAATCTGTAATGATCACGAGCACTTGGAGAAGGAACATCTAAAACTGGAAAGTCTGACATTACACACTCTCTGAGAATAACCCTAAAAAACATTTTTCCTAGCAAATCCCACAAAACTGTATTCTACAGTCCAACTGAACAACAGGGAGTAACTGAATGCCAGATTATGAATCACCCCCTGAGCTGTACTCTGATCTAAGCAGCTTCCAGAAGGGAACAGCATAAGAAACAGGGCATGTGTAAAATCACTCTGGTGGTCCCATCTCCATGAATCACAGGTTTCAGGGATAGAAACTGCATCCAGACAACCCACCTGTGGACCCACCCTCCATGAACTGCCTAACTACTCGGACAGCCACAGCACCCTTGGCAGCGGATTAAAAACCTCCACCTACACTGGGTAAAAAAGTACTCCTTTTTGTTTTTACACATTTCTAAATTTCACAGGATGCACCCTGACTCTTCTTGTAGCAACCAGTCTTTATAGTATTCATGACTTCATGCATCTGTATCACATCCCCTGCAATCACTTCTTTCCAAGCAGAAAAGTCATCTACTCAGGAGTTTCTAAACAAGATGCCATTCCACTGCCATTTTCTACTATCATACTAAAGTCCACTACAACATAAATTAACAAAGAAATACCACAGGACTTTTTTTTTTCCCCATGTACAATGCTGCCTTAAACAACAAGAATAATATATTTCTCGTTTTCTCTCCTCTCCTCTGCTCTAATCTGCTGCCCCTCTTCTCTTTTAGAGCTAAATGTCTAGAGGCAAAGTTCATTGTCTTTGTTAGGCCAACACACAGCTGTAAAACGGAAAATAATGTAAAAAGTGGAAAATAAGCAGTCATTCTTTGAACTGTAGATAGTAAATTCTGTGCAGCTCTGAAAACATCTTTTGCAGATCCATTTTAACAATTAACAGCATGGAGACGGTTGGTGAAGTCGATATTCAGAAGAGAGTTCATTTCCAAACACTAGGAAGGTGTCAGCAGCTGTAGTCACAGCAACTAATATTTCCATCCAAGCTTCTAGATCAGAGACTGTTTATCAAATGTCTTGCTAAGTGGAATCAGTGCTTCCCAACTCCTTTTCTATTTGGGCCAAATACATTTTTAGAGCCACTGTGCTCAGTGGGATTCTTTTGATCTTTCTCCAGGGTTTCAGATGGTGCCCACAAGTACTAATTTGTCTCCCTTTCTGATGAGTCGCACAGGTGGGAGGGAAGCAGAGCCTTTACTATGCAGGCACCAGTTCTGCACTCAGAGCTTCACAAGCAGAGCCACGTACTGTCACGAAAATGGTACTGATAACACTGAGGTAGCAGTAGGATCAAGGTGTTGCAACACTTCCAGGCACGAAAAGACTACAGCAAAATGTCCTTGGGGACGCTAATAATTTTCTTCCCTGTGCTCTCTCCCCACTCTTCGACTTCGTTGAGACAGCCATTCTTTGTGACATGTTTCTCTGCTGCACCCACACACGTCAGGCAGTAGAATTTAGTCTTTTCTAAAAAGTCTTTTTAAAAAAACATGTCCCAAAGTAGCAGCTGGGCAGAAAAGCTGTCTTTCTCAGTAAGATATGAAGTCAGCTTTGCCAAACAGACTCTTCCTTGAAACTTTCCTGGAAATCTGCAGGAGCAAACAATTGAAACAACCCTCTTGCTAAAACATAATACCATTTGAAGGGCACCTTCCATTCCGCTCTTGAAACACAGAAAAAAGGGCTGCAAGCATAGATTCTGTCAGTCCAAACTGGAGGAAACAATGCACAGAGTTTAAATGACCTGTTGAAAGTTTGTCACTTGTGAGCCTGAATAAGTTGTATTCTTGGTTTGTAACCCAGCAAACCTTTACTTCTTTACTCCTAACCCAGTGTTAACAATTCCTTCCCGGAGGATGACCGAGGAATTTTACGTGAGGGTTCCCTGACAAAAGTACCCTTTCATCAGCACTGGATCTACAACAGGAGAATAGGGTAGGGCTGACAGCACCATTTAATGTAATAACACCAGAAAGGGTTCACACTATGACCACAGGAAAGAAAAAAAAAAATTAATTGTAAAAATGCACAGTCACCTTGTAAAATTCTAACCACCAATACAGTAGACAATCTCCAAATTGTCAATAAGCAGCACTATTGTGAGCAGAGCGCCCCTGGGACCATCGTGAGTGCTTTGAAAACTGGCATTTGTGAAGTATGTGCATCAGGGAGAGTTCTGAGATCAGCTTCCCTGAAATCAGCTCCCGTATTTACTGACCTTCAAGGGCAAAATAGGAACTCCGGTTGTTTACGTAAGCTTTATCAGAGGGAACTGGATATGCACAGCTGTCTTAGGGTGTAACCAGAAAAGTTATATGGGGACTTAAGGTGTGGAGATTGCATTGCCATCTGTAAATTCATTACTGTGCATATTCTATTTGCATATGTAATGACAGGCACACCTTTCTAAATACAGTAGACTAACACATATTTAGCATTCTGGCTAAACCACTGAGAATAAACAACATAGCTCTGCCTTTGAGGACAGAAACAAACAACAGCACTTGGCCTCCGCTAAAGGAGTTGAGAGACTCCTGTTTGGCTGCACTGCCAGTAACTGGTATTACAGGTGCACACAATGGGCAAACTGTGCAAGACAAGTCTGAATTATCAAGCAGCAGGATGGCTTCTACGTTAAGAGGTATCACTGACCATTTTACTGCTTGAGAGCTCGCAATCCTCCTTGGGGAAAATCCAGCCGTTGTCCTCAAGATACTGGTCATCGCGCTTAGCACAAGAGAGTATCTCTAGCTACCTTTACCGATCTCAGCAAACCCTCGCCAAGCACAGAGTCAAACCGGAGAGTCAAAGAGCCTCCCTCCTCTCCAAGCTCAAACAAGTCGCTGCTGCCGCCACTGCCCTGCCCTGGGGCCGGGTCACCCCGAGCGGCGACCAAGGGACAAGGGGCACAGCCAGCCCCACAGGCTCTCACAGGCACATCACTTGGTGGGGAGCCGGAGCCAAATTCCTGCAACCCCCGTGGGACCAGGCAGCGGAGCAGAGGCAAGGCTGCTGTGCCAGCTCTCCCCTTACCTGGCGCCAGGGAACACCCCTGGGGAAAGGCTCTTCCCGGTGATCCTGTCACAGGAAAACCCACTGCCCAACACTGACCCGCCCTGCGCCAGTCAGCCCAGAGACAGAGATCCACCTGAAACCACATTCGATCCTTCTCCGGGCGCTGGAGCCGACTTGAACCTCAGCTCCTCAAGTTACAGGAAGGCTTTATGAAACCTCCCTGTAACAGCCTTTTTCTTTTCCTGGTTGGCCACGAAACGCCGCCGGCGTGACCCGAGCTCACCCCGAGGGTCGGAACACAGAAAGCGGCACCTGTAACTCTCATCTCCCCCAAAGAAAAGGCGCAAACCTTTGCGGAAACCCGCTTGGAAACGGCGTTTCAGCCTCCCGGTTGAGAGGAGCGGGGCAGCCCCGGCGTGCCCGGCCTCCCCCCGACCCTGACAACGCGCCCCTCGAGAGCTCCGCGGCCCCGGGGAGCACAGGGGAGCAGCGGGGGCGAAGGCGGCGGGGCAGGGCGGCTGGCCCCGGTGCGGTCGGACACTCACCATGGTGCGGAGCCGGCGCGGCCCCGGCCCGGCCCCGGCCCGGGTGGCTCCCGGGCGCTCCCTCCGCCCTCCCCGCCCCGCGCCAGGTGAGGCCCGACCGCATCGCGCCTTCCCACAATGCCCCGAACGGGACCTCCCCGGGCGCCTCCTCCCGCTCCCCCGGGGCGAAGGGCAGCGCCGGGCTGAGGGCGGCACGGCCGGGCGGGCCTGGGCGAGGGCAGCGTGGGCTCCCCCGGCACCGCCGTGCCCGGCTCGGTGACGGCCGAGCCCCCGCCCGCTGTCCCCCTGTGCGCTCCAAGGGCATCCTCCTCACCATGGCACCCTCCTCACCGCGGCACCTTCCTCACCGCAGCGCCCGAGATTAATAAAAAACGCGGTCCACTGGCTCTAGCCCCTGTTAGGCATTCATACCCTGAGGGCATGGGTAGATCTGCAGGCACGATTCGCTCTGCAGCCCATCTCCCAGAGCAATCCCCATCTCCATCAAAATGAAACTCGGATAGTTTAAATACCTTAAATGGCTGGGATTTGCTAACCCTGTGCTTTTTGATGGAGCTGGATGAGAGGGCAAGGCATCAGCGAGTCCCTGTAACCTCTGGCAGGGATTTACTGATAAGCAGCTGGTGCCAAAAGAATGTGCAACATCCACAGAGTCAGCACTTGAATCAAAAGCTCTAAATCCAGGCCTAAGGCTTCTCAAGCTTGTAAGAGGAGTCTGATCCAGATGCAAACTACCATGAGCATAAAATGAGAAGATTTAGGATGCTTAAGCCCCGTGTTTGTAATCTAAAGGAGAGACATCCCCTCAGCCCAGCATGCCTCTAGCCCCAAGCACAGTGTGTCTGGATTCGTGATATAGATCACATCTGCTCAGGGAAGAGCTGTGCCCTGCTCTCGGGTGCAGTGCTGGATGCATCTGAGTCATCAGTGAAAATAGGAAAGAAATCCAAAGCAGCTTGGGGACTTTAGGGGACACTGTAGTGTCAGTGATAACCCCTCTTCAACCTCTGGCTTCAGCAAAGATGAGAGATCCTTGGCCAAAAGCAATTGTGCATGTATAGCTGAGAGGGCAACTGGACTTAAATCTGCTCCCAGCTGGAAATGCGCTTTTGCAAGAGCAGAGAGCAAAGGCATGTGTGTGCTCCTTATGCTCATTCAACAGTGTGGAAGTAATTTCCACGTTTCCCTAAGCGTGCATGACCCTACTCCTCTTGGCCCTCCATAAGCTTTGATTTGGTCTATTCTTCACAGAGTTTTTCAATGCTGCTTCCTTAATTCTGGTTTCTGCATGTTCCAGCCCCATCCCACCAAGCAGCACGACCCATGTTGTGCTGGCTTCACTTGAGCACAACACAAGAAGTACAAGTCCCAGCTACCTACAGATCTCACTGATGCTTCATCTGTTCACTCGCCCCTGCCCTCTGTCCTTCCTGAGTACACATCCCGGCCCATAAAGCAGTACTACCTGCAGACCCCGGGAACACACTTTCCCTTTTTTGCCCAGCTGTGCAGTACACCCCGTGCAGCACACACCGTGCCGTGCTGCCAGACTGCACTGCCTCACTCTCTTTGCTGGGACACCATCTTGCCATCAGTGAGCCTGCCAAAGACACACTTCCTGCGATCGACATCTGTTAAAGGAGTCCAGAACCTTTTACTAGATTCTCTGAAAGATAGCTGGGATGAGTAAACAGGCCACACCAAGTGCCACAGTGCCCACACTGCCTTTCCCAGGAGGCAAATGCCTGCCTTCCCCACAACCACGTTCATTTTCCTGCCCCTTGCAATCCCCAGCTCTACCTACTGTGGCCTGTGCAGAACAGAGAGCTGGCTGCACTGAGACCCAAACACGCTGCTGGTGAACAGGGAGTATTCCCAGATACCACTGCAGCACTGGGAAAGCCAAGTGTCTGTGAACACTCAGAACTGGCTTTCATGAACACACCCCTCAATCCCTACCTATGTAATTTACTCAGGTGACAGACAGTAATTTTTTTTGCTTAACAACCGTTTCCTGATAATCTTACTTTTCTGTGCAAAGATCTTACCTAATTAGGCCCATAAGCTCAAGACAACCAGCCTGCTGCTTTTGTGTTTTTGCAGATAATCAGAAAAAAAGCAGCAGCAGCAGCAAATACATCATGCGTACAGTGCACATGAACAGCAATGGCCAAAGTCAACCCGTTATGGCCAATCTTGGATGTTGGCAGAGAAGCAGCCCTACAGAAACAAGGCTGTAGATATAGGATCATGCCTAAATTAGATGCTTTCCAGCTCAGAAAGCCAGGCTGCACTTAATGACTGCCTAACAAGCCATGGTAAGGACTTGGAATTCTCCCCTCCCTGCCACTAGCACTGTGTACCTGCATAATGTTCTGATAAGGAAAATAAGCATCTTCTAATGGTTCCTACTTGGGAAGTCTGAGCTACCAGTGTCACTCAGCAATGGGAACAGGGGGAGGCAGCTGTAGCACACAGTTGTGCCAGGTGAACCGATGGGGTGAACTCATTCCAGTAAAATGCCAGATGAAGGACTCCATCCAGTCCTTCCCCTAGGCCCAGTTAATTAATTTGAATATGAAAGCTTGCTTTATCTATCTAACTCAAAACTGCCGCAAAAGGCAGTTTTGAGACCCTTCTCTTTTGGCTTCTGTCTCTGCCTGGAAGAAAATGTTCATACTCCTTTCTTAAGGGCCCTGTGAAATAGGCTTTTAAGACAGTCAAGAAGCTTTTTTACTGCCACTGGATATTGTCTCCTCTTTGCTTATATTCCACTTTTCTAGCAGCCTGTAGCATTCAGAAGCAGAAAATGTCCACACCAAGAGTTACAGTGGATTTAGAGAGCCCTGTGTGCCTACACCTGCTCTAAGAGCTGCTCTAGCTCCTAGGTATCAGTTCTGGTGAGTCTGGGCATTGTTTACTTGAAAAAAAAGTAATTGCTAAAATGTCCAATGCCTAAATCTGCAACAGGCTTTGTCTTAGGCCCTCTTAATCTCTGCAAGCTTTATGCACTGCAGAAGCTAATCCTGGACCATATAAGTAACGCTATATATTCGCTAATGATTTACAATTGATTGGGAAGTTATGTTCCTGTACATTTCCACAGAAACAAACAAATCCTGACAGCTTCAATTAAGAGACAAACTACTGTCTAAAGGACAGCAGGGAGTGAACAAAATATAACATTCTCACTTAGTTTTAAAAAAAAAAAAAAAAAAGGCACAAAAGCTCCTTCCGGAAAAAAAACCCAAACACAAGCACCTTTATGTTGCAGAAAGATGGCTTTTTCCTGACATTGAGTTCCACAACAAATGAGGCAGAACACTGGCCATTTACCTGCTTCTAGCCAGCACGTGCTTTGCTGTCATTTTTCAGCACCTGAACTGAGCTGACAGACTTCAGGTAAGTAGCCCTGTACAAACCAAGGAGTTGAGGCTGATGAAAACTCCACTTAGTGATTTTTTTTATAGGACACCTGCTATGCAGGGTTTTTTCCACTTGATCCTAGGTCTGTGGGGGAAAGAAAAAACTGTAAAAGCCCAATCTAAATTCAACTGCAGGAGGTAGCTTTTAATTGCACTTTGGATCAATAGAGAAGCAACCTAACACTTGCTCTTGGTTACTAGGCAGGGGCTTGTACTTTTCCAGACTGCATTTAATATGTTCCCTTTTCCTTATTTGCTCACACGGTCTGGACTCTCCACAGTTTAAGTGCAGAACAAAGCATTCATATCACTAGAGTACATACCGAATCATACATCTGTGCCACAGATTTTGGTACCTTATCAGCAGCAACAGCATGTTCAGTAAGTAGTCCCAACATTTAAGTAGTTTAAAGTATTAGAAAAGTGTTAAAAATAGCAGTCTCAAATCCTTATAGGCCGTACTGAAGTGATAGGCATACAAGCACTTAAAGGGTGTAAAACAGCAGCATTTTATTTCATTTCCCAGCTGTATAAAATTAAGAGCAGGCCAAAATGTAGACAGATATTAACAAAGCTCCATCCAGAACTCTGCTTCAATCAAAGAAAATGTGTTATTGTAGCCCTCTTGTGTTCAGTTGGATTTACAGCTTTTAGATCCACAGCACCCTTCCTCACCACCCTGAAATCATGGTGCTGCATGTCTAACCACACTGCCAGCCAGCTCTTTGCCCTGTACACCTTCCCTCAGTTTCTTTCATGTTCTTCTCTTTCCATCCTGGTTGTAAAATCAGACCGTGCTCCTGAAACAGCAGAGTGCTCAGCTGGTATATTCACAACATAAAACAAGAGAAGTGCTGTTTTGGAGTAGGAGGACCAGGATACCCCTCGTTGCCCGTGAGCATGCTCACATTCCCAGCTCCTCCATAAAGGGACTGTAATGAACAAAACTTACAGTCTTATTTCTCTCTTTTAGTTAGTGTCTGTGAGATTAAGTTTTAAACTGTGTCCCACAGACACCGTTTAGACACGTGCGATTCCCTCCCCTCATAAAAATCACTCTGACATTCTCCAAAACCTGTAAGCACTATTGACTGTCCTGTTTATTCCAGACCTTCCCTACCAATCACCAAGATTAAAAAAAATCTGTTGTCCACCACTCAACTGGGGCACTGCACAGAGCTATAGGAGGTAGTGGCTTTTACAGTATTCTTTTCCAACATGCAAAGGTTGTAGCAAACAGATGATCGAGTTATGGCTGCTCTGCTTTGGGTGGGATGGGGTCTGGTAACCGAGGGTAAGATAATGGGTTGTTCCCCAAACAAGGCTCACCTTCTGTGTCTGCTGCCTTGGCCATCCCTTATTCAACCACTGCCAGACCAGCTCACTCTTCCAGATCAGGAGGCCCAAGTGAACAGGTCACTTGTACTTCAAGAGCTGTTGTCACCTGTGTCAAGGAGCCAGACTCCAGCATGGATGTGCTGCTGTGCAGGAAACCCAGAGGAGGAGCCATAAGCTATGAGAGAAAGAAGGAGAAATGAATGAGAACAGAGAAAAGACAAAGGGCAGCACTAGAAGAGAAAAACTGCTGTGATTTAGCAGCAATGTCATCAAGGAGTATTGACAAGCAGTGCCCCCTCTTGAT